CGAATCTCTTCGCACTTTGCACGCCGACACTGCAACGAAATAAATTTAAAGCGCCAGTAATTAATGCGTAATCAAGTAGAGAAATATTAGCCGTTTCATGTACTTTACATATCGTTTCAGCCGCGATAATTGAACGGACGCGAAAGAGAGCCAGAACTTTTTACCTTTATTTAAACCGGAAAATATTAACAAATTAATTACTTGCGCAAGGCTCGCATGTAATACACACAAGTTCAAAGGAACAAAGGACTCGTATAACAAACGTTAGTCTTAGCTAACTGAATAAATGTAGCTTTGCGTAAGTGTGGAGTTCTTCGACAGGCGGTACGTCACTTGTGTAATTTCGATAGTTGTCGCCATTTTATTTGTATTAAAAAGAGAATTGAACGGCAACTTAGTGACGCCAGTAGAGAAATCAAGAATTTGAATAAGCTTGTGTGTTCGAGCCATATTCGATCTCACTCGTTTCTCATTGGTCCCTAGATCGATCCTATTGGTCGGTCGTTTCTTAAGCTGGTAAAAATGCATAATAAAAATATATCTGTAAGAAGGTGGCAAGAAAGTTAACGTGTTAAAAGCGTGCTCAATTACATCCTTTTTTCCCCGGCACACAATCCACCGAGGGGGAAACCGCTGAGGGCATTGTGGTGTACAGATTTGCGGCATTACTGGGCATTTTTTGGGCGTTAGTTTGGGCATTAGGCCTTGCTGGGACGTTATTAAAGATCAAATAAGATAAAACAAGGTAACAACTAAATTCTTAACTCGATCCTTTTAAGATATAAATCAATTACAAATGTAAACGCCTTTAGGACCTGGCACAGATGGCGGCCACTTGAATTATCATGTGAGTCCGAGTAAAACAAAATAAATAAGATAAAGTAATGCCTACCGAGCATTACTTTATCTTATTTATTGGGCATTGGTGTACGAGATTTTGGTCAGCGGTTTCCCCCTCGCAATCCACCGTCTATACGATGCAAATAGCGGTCGAAACAGTGTGGAAACGACGTTACTGGCAATTCTTTATCATAATAAATCACAACGTTTCGGCCAGTAATACACTGGCCCTCTTCAGGTAACGAACTTACAAAAGTACCTACAAATGTCTGAGGAACAGAAAAACAACACGTAAACTAAATTAAGATGAGATCTTGCGTAACAGAAAATGAAATTGAGGTGTTTTTTATATAATAAAAACTTACAAGATTCGTCAGACTAGAGATGTGAAAATTATGTTGGAAGTCAGAGACTTCGTTGTACAATGTGTCCGGTCATCGACGTTAGAAAACAGAATGAGCGATAAATACACAGAGAGAAAGGTTTCTTTGGATTTAGTATTCCTATTTATTTGATTGAAATTCGTTTCATTAAAACAACATATGCTTATATGAAGCATTATATGTTTTGAATAAAAATGTTGTTGTTTTATTCAAACACCCTGTATTATTTTTTAGAAAAAACACTATTATTTGAAGTAATATCTTTCGATTAAATAATTATATTATTTGGCCAGGCGCTTATAAAGTTTGGTGCTGCCACTAAATGGCCGCCGAACTTGCACTGAAAAAAATTTCTGGTTGAATATGGACGAATCAGATAATTCCTTTAGGATTTACCAGAATTCCTGTAATCCTACAGAAATTCTGGTAAATCCTAAAGGAATTCTGGTAAATCCTAAAGGAATTATCTGATTCGTCCATATTCAAGAAATTTTTTTCAGTGTGTAAGTAAAATCGCGGCAGCCAGATATATGAGCGACCACATCAGCAGACGCAGTCTTAATCATTTAATGGTCTATCCTTTATTACGGCTGAACATCGTGCGCTAATTCAGTGTTTATCTTTCTTCTTCTAATGAAGGAAAAATTCTAAGGTAGAGGGAGGAAGATGTGTGCATATACATTTTTTTTCACATATTTTCTATCAAACGATAATGTTGTTTGAATGAAACGATAATATTGTTTAGATAAATTAGAATATTCCTTTTGTTTTAAACAAATATTTTATTTCTGACAAAGATATATATTATTTCAAATTCAAACTATCGTACTTATTAATTCAAACATTGATTCGTTTCGACCATTCCAAATATCAAATCTGTTTGGATACAACAAAATTTGTTAAATCGAAAGAAATCGTTTTCTCTGTGTAAGAGTAAAATCACGTACGGGAGTTCTAAGGAAACGCGGAAGGGGAGGAATGAAAATACTATGTTATTCTGATCATTCTACTGTATACAAAGTTAAGATTTTTAGTGTCTCGCTGTAGGTCGATTGTACTAAAGAGAAGAGAAATTAAAGCTCTTTGCGCCGGCCGATAAAATGCTGGAAATTGAAGACCAAACTAGTCATCTGTCCCGATAGCCCCGAAGATAATGGAGGATATTTAGAAAAGAATATATCAAATTAAACAAACTTGGAACGTCGCAGCAAAATTTTCTCATTTCAAGCGAGCTTCTTTTTCCTCTTATTACGGTGTAAAGTGCGTCGCCCGAACAAAGTGGATTCGCGCGGCATTTCACGGTAATTTCGCGGGGAAAAAAATATTACGCATTTCCCCGCGAGCAACAAGCTTCCAAGATTGAATTACTTCAAATTTGACAGCTAATTAGCGACACATCGTAATGTGAAACGATACATCTCGTCTATCGTATGCAACGTGCTTTGCCGAGCCAGCGGCTCGAGCTTTATAATTATAAACACTATAATGCATTATTAACGTTTTAATTATGCGCGTGCCACGCTAAATAGTTCAACATAAACATTCGCTTTGCAGTTCTAACGTTTTGTTCGACTCATATCTGCGTTACATTCATTTAATGTCATTAAAAGATCAACTGTCATTTTATATATGAATTGTTTCATTATTAATTAATAATTAACAACTTGTAGTACCGTTTGATTGTACATTCCGCTTTAGGCGTAGCAATCAGTTTTGTCCTTCCGCTTCTTGATGACTTTTACGGTGACAATGATAGTCTTTTATCTCCCGTGAAAGGTTGTATTGTAATGAAAATGAAGTGTTGTAGTTTTAAAGCTTACGAGACGCACATATAATATGGATTATATGGGCAAATAGATTCAGCTGCAGAAAGAGAAGCGCCCGATGTATAATATTTTATTATCTCTTTTATCGCCCACTGATAAGTTTGTTCTTGTCAGCGCTTTTCCAAACTACTCGAGATAGCGGCCGTTCGCTCTATTAATTAAAAAAAAAAGGTGAAGCAAGAGAACGTGTGAGTAGTATTTTCACAATCGTGAGATAATCTAAGGTGAGCTAAGTTCAACTTATTGTTAGAAGCAAACCGTAAAAGTGAACGCAGAAATAATCGCAAGATGCGTTGACGCTTTTTCAAAAGTAGTTCATAAGCCAGTGCTTTACAATAGGGTAAGGTGACCAAATTCGGATCAAAAATTTGACGAGTCGCTAACAAGCGACATTTCAAAGTAATTCGCCTGACTCCTTTAGATATTTACGACTTTATGCTACTTATATTGTCATCATCGATAAAGGGTGTGTTTCTGCGTCGCCTATTGGCGACCCATCAAATTGTTGATCCGCACGTTGTATCTGATCCGAATTTGGTCACCTTACCCTGTGCTAATAATTGCCAGTAAAACATTTAAAATTCAGTTATGAAAGAGTTTAAGCGAGGAGAGAACCGCTGAGGGCATTGCCCTATACAGATTTGCAGCATTACTGGGCATTACTAGGCATTAGTTTGGGCATTAGGCCTATCTTTGTAATGCACTACAATGATAAAGTAAGGCAATAAGATAAAGTAATGCCCCAGTGGGCATTGCTTTATCTTTGTAATGCACCAGCGAGGCCTAATGCCCAAACTAATGTCTAGTAATGCCCAGTAATGCCGCAAATCTGTATAGGACAATGCCCTCAGCGGTTCTCTCCTCGCTTAAACTCTTTCATAACTGAATTTTAAATGTTTTATTGGCAATTATATTGCTCGTATATTATTGGCCTTATACTCTTGTTATAATATTACATATATAAAATTTGTGCCAATAATTAGCATAAATTGTATTCGGTCTAAACTAAAAATTAGTCGCGAGAGAAGGGACGCAATACACTTTCCGAGCATTGTACCGCTGGGAGGTACCGAGCCTTAGAAACGCATTAATTACGAAATAGAAGCTCTTCTCAGGCGTCTCCCTGAAACGTCCGTCCGTAACGTAATCGCGTAACGTGAATCATGAAAAATATCGTTACGTGCGCACAAATTCCAGCCGGATGAGTTCTCGCGTCTAACCTTCGCACTGTCGCGTGTCACAATTGTTTCCATACGAAACGGAAGTCTTCGTACCGCTGTAAACGTGACTCCGTGGTGCGCCTTGGGCTCTCGCATTCACGCCGCGCATGTTACCTCGAACTCGGTTACCCGATTCTCGCTCCGCGATAAAAATCGCGCGGCTCTTGCACTAAATGAAACTCCGACTGGCCACACGTTGAGAACGTGAACGGTGTTTGACGTTTTTATCGCGTTTCACGCGAGTCATCGATTTTCGGTGAATTGTTACGATCGTCTATCGCGCAATCGCGTTAAGAAGATGAAGAGGGAGGAGCGTCTTGGCACGCGGAGAGCGACGAAAAACTACTCCGAGATATGAGATCATTAAGGCGGAATTAATGTCGGCACGAGCTCCGGCGTTTCATCACAGTCATCCGATATCGTTCTAACGATATACGTACATATATATTTCGGACGCACACGTGTGCGCGCCTCTGCCCGTGCGTCTCTCGAAATGTCTCTCGAGAGACCGAGAGATTTAACGTTAAATAGTTGCGCGCGAGCGCGCGCGCGTGTTTCTCGATTGCGGTTCGCGTCCCTGATCTAAGACACGTTTCGGGAAAAGCATCTCAATGTTGTGACTTAAATTAGATCTTGGCAAACCCGAGCTCTGCCTCGGAGGCAGGCGTTAAACGCAAACTCGAGGGCGAGCGAGCGAGCGAGAGAGAGAGAGACGCGCAAAATCCACTTACCTTCCAACCGGCGCTGCTGTTGTTATCACCCTTGTCCTTGAAGTAGGACACGTTCTGGACCATCCACTCGTAGATCTGCGAGAGGGTGAGCCGCTGGTCGGGCGCGCTGGTGATCGCCTGGGTGATGAGATCGGCGTAGCTCAGGTTGCCCCAGGCGTTCCTCCTCGACGAGTTCTTCTTCACTGGCAGGAGACCCTGGGCGAGCTGCGCCTGATGGGGCGGCGTGCCGCCCTCGGCGCCCTCCTTCGCGGCGGGCGCGCTGCCCTCCACGTACCCTTCCGGCCGTGGCAGCGGCCATGTGTTGGATCGCGCGCGAGTCTGCGGCTCGAATCCGTTCTCCAGGTCCGGCGAGGTCGAGAACTCGAACGAGACCCCCTTCTTCTGCGCCTGCTGCTGCTGCTGCTGCTGCTGCTGCTGCTGTGACGGGGTCATGGACCCCGACGCCGTGACCGGCACCGAATCCATCATGTTCGCCGGGCCGTGCTGCGCGCTCGGGCGATATTCGCGATCGAGCGCGGGACCGTACGCGCGGCTCCCCGGCGGAGATCGGTAACCGACGATCGGCGCCACCGAGAAGATCCGTTCGCGCGCGCCCAAGGGATACAGGTCGGCCTGCGTTTTGACTCGCACTATTCACCAGGGTCGCCACACGTATGAATCTATGTGTATGTGTGTGTGTGTGTGTGTGTCTGCGCGCCTGTATATGTGTATACGTGTGCGAGAGTGTATGCGTACTCGACGGCCTTTGTGCGTCCTCGCGCTCGGATGAGGAAGACTCGTTTCGCGCCTCCGATTCGGAGTCAGTGTGTCGCTGCCACTGCTGCTGCTGTCTCTTCACCCTTTCCAGACACCGGCAGTTTCCTCAACACATCACCATTGAACCGCGCGGCGGTGACCGATCGGCCGCGGGGGATCGGTGCGTGGCGACGTTGACGGCGACTCCGACGCTCGCACGCGCGTCGTTGGCAGACGTTGGGTCTGCGCGCCGAGTTCGCGGCGGGAAACGGATCGGCTGCGACCGTGCTCGCGCGCGCGCGACTGTCGACGGCGGTGAACCAACTGAGGATTCCGACGGGAGTTCTGCGTGCCGAAAGAGCGCGCGCGAGCGAGAGAAACGTCGGAGCGGAGCAGTGGCGGCGGGGGGAGGGCGAGAGGGAAGGAGCGAGATAGCCGGAACGCGAAGCGCGGCGGAGCGGACAGGGAGAGAGAGAGAGAGAGAGAGAGTGAGAAAGAAGAGAGAGGAGAGAGAGAGAGAGAGAGAGAAACGGATAGGCGCTCGGCGCGGCGGAGAGAGGGAGAAGACCACGTGGTCAAACTGTGTTTACAAGCCGTGCCGTCCGGGGGTCACGTGGCCATGTTTTGATAGGAACTTGGCCCGCCGCACGAGCGGGTGAATCTACGCTCTCTACGTCGTCGCAGACGATGGCTGCCCGGCGCGGTATCGCGGCGTGATTCGCGCGGTGTGCGCTCCTCTCCTCCTGCACGCTCGGCCTGGCGGCGCGATTTTCGGTAGAGACCGCCGACGGCGTGATCGCGATGGCGGTGCTGGCCTTTGGTGCCCTCGTTGCCCTTGGGAGACCGTTCCCCCTGATATCTCTCATCGATACCCTCGGATCCTCCGCGCGCGCGCGCGCGCGCGCCGGGGCTCTCTCTCTTTTTCGCGCGCGCGCGATCGGCTCCCGATCGCGCTGCTCCGATCGCCGCACGCACGCACGCACACGCACGTGGATGACGTGAGTCCTCCGAAATGGAGCAAGTCCGTGGGCAGAGGGGGGTGGGGGGGCGTGTGCCGCGCGTTTCCCCGATCGCCGGCAAGGAGGGCTGAGAGAATCTGCGGTAGGCGAACGCTTCGTGGAGACTCGTGAGAGAAACGACGATTCGCAACGTTATCGGTCTCGGGAGAGAGAATCTATTCACTACGTACAACTTGCCGGCAAGGCAGCGCGGCGCATACTGGCGAATTCCTCCGGCCGGCGCTCGGAACCGACCGAGCGGAGCCGAAGTTGCGAGGAGTGAATTTGCGACGCCTGTCGCCGCACTTCGGCGCGCCGATCGTCCGACGGCGCAACGCGCGAGTGGGAGAGAGAGAGAGTGCGATCGGGGAGGGGGAGGGGAACGAGGAGGACAACCGTGAGAGTGCTCTCGGCGAGCGGGAGGGAGATGCACGGAGGGCACTCGAGAGCTGGCGTAGCTGGTGCCGCTTGGTGGGTGTCTCGGCGGCCCCGGCGGTGGGGGTAAGAAAACCGGGGTGGGAGGCGAACAATAGTGGGGGAAGGAGAGAGGGACGAATGGGGCTGAGAGAGACGGCTATAAATTGCAACTTTGTGCAACGTGGAAGGGACGTGGAGGGGGGCCGCGCGGCGGGAGAAGGACGGGGTGTCGCGGGGCGACCCGCAGGTGGGAGAGGGACGGGAGGACGCGCCAGAGGGAGGGGGAGTGCAGCGTGCTCGTCTAACGGGTGGGCGGGAAAAGGGGTATACGCTGTGCCCCCGGGGTTAGGCATCGCACTGCGCGCAGAACCCGCGAGGAGGGAATTCGCACGCGGTGCATCTCTTTCCTCTTTCTTTCCCTCTCTCGCTCCTCTTCCTCCTCCTCTCCTTCGCCGTCGTCCCTCCCGCCACCCTCCCCCCTCCCTCCCCCCCTCACAGTCCTGCCTGTACTATCTCTCTTCCCAACCCCGTTTCTCCTCCCGCCATTCCGCCGCGATCTTCCTACGTTCCCTCGGCTCGATTTTGCGGCAACCCTTCCGGTACTTTTTCGTATCGCTACTCCGCGACTTGTAGAATTCGAAGATTCCCAACGGCCGATCGAAATAACTCGGCCTGTTGTTTTCGGTCTGCGTGCCTATCGAGTGGTACAGCGTCCTCCGAAAGCCATGCAACATTCCTGAATACATTCGCGAACATTGTTGCATCGCGGCGGCGGCCGGACGCGAATTCTTCGCCGAAATATTCGGCGAAAAAAAATTGTAGAGTCCGTTTTTTTTTGTTCGACGCTTGTAATCGTACGAAGTCGCTGAATGATCGTTTCCGCGGCGAGGACACTTCTCTCACGTTTGTCTCTTGCATTATGAAGGAGAGGAGAGAAGGGGATTTTTCAGATACGGCATCTTTCGCGCAAAGTCCGGGATGTTATACAAGCGAGCTGTCGCGCAAACTGTTCTTGCGATCAACGCTAATAATTTAGTGACTCGCACGTTCGTTCGCGCAAGCCTGACTCTCAAGGGCCCTTCATCAAGAATTTGGGACATTTTCGGAGTCTGTGCGTGTCGCGTTTGCAATTGATCTTGAGGTAGATACGGGAGACGATCGAGGCGTACGTATTCCACGTAATTGCAACTTTGTCCAACTCCGCAGTTATTTTCGACACGCCACGCCGAAGCACGTACCCCCGGAGCACGGGAAGCTGGAGCTGTTTGCCCGCCCTCAAAGATCAATTAAATGCCCGTTCTGTCACAACAGATCCTTGGGTGCTTTTTGCGCGCTCTTAATTATTCGCCGATGTCCGATGTTGTCGGGCTGAATAATTTGCAGAAACCCTCCGCCGTCCTTCAATTCGGCCATTGTCCGAGGTCTGTTGACATAAATCCCACGCGCTGGAGACGATATCCCCCGCGCCACAAAAAGAAGTCCGGCAGTGCCGCTGAAAGGGCAGGTAAATCCGGCCATTGCAACCCGGTTGAAACAAAAAACGACGCGCTCGGTGGTGGCCAAACACGTTACGTATGTACACGCGCGTACATATCCATGTCGTCCTGTGCGGGCAGTTCCCCGGTTAACTTAAGGGGTACCGTCACCGCGCGTAATTATGCACTCTGAACCTTCGATTGTCCGGCGGATATCCCCGATGCACCCATTGCTCAATGTTGTTTGCGCGCAAGCTAAAAACAGCGCGCCGTAGCTCACCGCGTCCGTGTACGTACAACCGCGCGAACACGCGTGGCTAAAAATAGAAGATGAATGGATTCTTAAGGACTACCTGATCGAGTAATTGTACAAACAATTTGGACTACTACACCGGACTACGGCGTGATTGTAAATTATACTTGTATAATGGGCTGTATTAGTTTAAGGTCGTTTGATTTATACCGACAATAAGTCGCCACAGCCCTCGGGTTCGTTAATCCGGAAAACGGCCGAGGCTGCTGAAATAGTACGTAGTGGTGTACGTAGAAGTGTAGTTGGCGGTGTACACGCGTGAAAACCCAATGGAAAAACTCGGGTAACACGCGAGTTGATCAATGCTGAAAATGTTGTAAAATTGAAAAATGTAATGCGCTTATGCTACGATAGTAACGCAATAAGATTTAGATCCCTTCTACGCCTACTTTATCCAAGTTTTCGTTTCAGTTGACGTTTCAAAAACATCGTCCTACCCCAAATTCTTTCTTCCTTCGATTGCCGCAGTGCTCAAGCAAATTGTTTACCTGATGACAATTACAATTTTTCCCGAACGACAAGTTGGAAGATATCACGCGACAATGAATGATTGAAAGTTAAGAAACGTACGAAATTTTGGATGTTCCTGGGTTTCTATTTTGACTGTACTATCTCACGGAAAGCCCTCTCGATTCATGCCGATCCCTAAGCATACATCTCCTTCGCGCAGAGCTGAGATACGCGCTGGATAATAAAGAACTGAAGAACACGATTTTAGCATCCTTAAGTAGTCCGCAACCTAATCATTTTCGAGTAACCACTCCGATTAAACCTGTCCAAAAAGACACACGAGAAACGTACAAGCTGTTTACCTCGAGAACAGCGTATAACCTGGACTTTTAAATCTCTTTAAACCGCTGCGTCGTGTGGTATATGTAATCTTATCACGTACTTTTAAATTCATTCGTAAGAACACCAAACGCAGTAATTGATTCTGAGTCTCGTACATGTTGATTGATGAGCCCCAAGCAGCAATGCAGATACCGCAGATCCCCATATTTTCAGATTCGCAAGAAGCAAGAGCAAGGATTTAACGACAAGGGTGTCCGTCTGGTCTTCGTCTCATATTAACATTAAACTACACCGCGCGCCAAGAGTACACCAACCCACAAATTAAACTTAGAACTCTGGTGGTCGAGCGTGCAGTGTTGATACGAATCGTTGCGCCTCGAAAAGTTATTGGACCGCTTTTCGAAACGTAAGATGTTACCCGAGTTTGTGACATCGGTCTATTATTACGATCGTAATGTCATTTGAAATTCCCTACATTCCATAAAACTATTAGGATTGTGGCATGTTTTACGGGCAATCGTTTCTCCCGAAAAGTGGATCTTTCGGGTCGAGGAGAGTCATTCCGAGACCCTAAACGCGAGACTTTATCGTGTGAAATTGCACATACGGAGAAAATTAAGGCGAAGTGAAAGAAAGCGTTAGAGCTGCCGGTAGCTCCCGACCATTAGATTCTCCTAATGGGAGAAAGAGAGAGGCAAGGATAAGTTCGGACTATCAATTACATCAAACCAATTCCGGAGCTTACTTTACGCCGAATCGAACCCGGCCGGCTTGCTAAATTTGTTACGCTAACGAGCGTTGCTCTCGTCGAGCACTCGTCGAGCTACCGCTGTGTGTAACTTTTTGTTTAGTTGGCTATGAAAATAAACGCGAATTACGACGTTCGTTAACTCGATCGGCGGCTATCACGGGTCGATAGTTCGCGTATGCAGCGCGCATCTCGCGTTGCTAAGTTAGGATAGTGCAGTCGTCTATGAAGTTTCCATGAGGATGAACATGTAATTGGATCGCGTACATTTCTATGTTTATTTGTACGTATTCTATAATTTCTATCGGTAATATAAGTCATTTTTCAATCATTTCACATCGAGTTAGTGTGTTATATCGTCGCATATCATGGCTTTGACGAGAAAATCTAAAATGGTGTACCGTGAAGAATGTCACTTAGCATTTGAAGTTCTTATCGTGTCGGAATTTTACATTGTTAGACCCGGTTTCACCAACGTTGTTTAACTTTAAGCTTAGCGCAATTCGTTTGTCTCTTTCCAACTATTGCTTTAGAAAGAGACAAACTTGGATTAAACTAAGATTAAAGTTAAGCGACGTTTGGTGAAACCGGGCCTTAGTTTTCCTGTACGATATGGGTGACAGATTTCACTGTTAATTACGCAGTACGTACAGCTGATCGCCCACATTACTTATATAATATAATTACTTACGTGGTGTATATAGCTTTTATTAATTTCTCTTCATGCATATGTATATATTTTACATCAAATGGATTCTAAGAAAAATTAACACGCATCTTTAATTAGATAAGTTTGAAACACTCAGTCCAGAAGTCTAATAGAAAAGATAATATCACTTTATAAGTAACTGTGGTTAGGTGACAGCTTCACATGGTGATACTTTTAATTTCTCTTCGTTTTTCATATAAAGTCGTGAATCCGCGACTTTGTTTTTATGCGTGCTTTAAGATAGTTGTTTCGCGACAGTAATGCTCAAAAGTTTCTTCCAGACAGGAACCAGCACTCAATTATTACAATGATATATCTTGATGCAATATTGTTCTAAAGAATACACTTACGATTAAAACATAATATAAAATAGATTCGGAAGATTCTAATTTGAGGCGCTATTGCCACATCTCTTATACACTACACTCATGTCCACTACATAATTCTTCCCATTTTTCAGTTTTAACTGTTTATATTGTTGAAACGTAACGGCCAATAATTTTGATTTTTTTTTCCAGTTATTCGTTCTATTTTACTTTGTAACATATTTGTTTCTTACGAATTTCTTTCTATACGAATCTCACTCACCGTTAAGCTTAAAAATAATAAAATGTACCATCATTTGCGTTTGCAAACGCAAATATTAATATTTTATCACATAATAATATGTGTAAATAATATTTCATATGTAATAATATTACAACGAATTATATTGTTACTTGTAATATTTTTAACGTGTTTTACACGTAATATTGTATTTCGTGTAGCATAGCAAACTTTAACATTTTGTTTCAGAACTTTGAGACGGTCAATTTCAATTTAATTAGTCTTATTTTGAACGTATTAATGTAAAGAATAAACTGTAAAAATTTGAAACAATTCTCACATAAATGATTTTACGAAATAGCTACACGGAAAGAACAATGTAGCTGCTGTAGCTAAAACTTAGCAAAATAGGGACAGCTAATATTTTAGTTGTGATAGCTCAATATTTTGCTACTGTGCCTATTGTATTAGGTGCGACAGCAAACGGTTTGCTGTCGTAGCAAAATATTGAGCTATCACAACTAAAAATATTAGCTGTCCCTATTTTGCTAAGTTTTAGCTACAGCAGCTACATTGTTCTTTCCGTGTACCTTAATCGTGTGATTTTACGAAATAACTACCTTAATCGTGTGGAAGAATTTTGCAATTTTATGAAGCCAATTTCAAATTGCTCGCGAAAAAAGTTGAAAATTTCGAATACCAATAACTTTTCTATTAGACTTCTGAACTGAGTGTTTTAGCCTAGTATTATTTTGTGCAGAAGAGCCAATAAAAAAATTTACAGGCGTAAAAACTATATTCGAATGTGTCGCATACATTATGCACAAAATAATTGTTTAAAATTGGTTCTTTGAAAATTTCTTGTCATAAGAAATACGATAGAAGGTTACTTGGGAACTCTTGGCATGCGTAAAGATGAGTTTTAGTTTGTTTCGGACTAATTTTGATTTGCTTACCATTGATAAGTAATATACATTTCACAGTATCTAGCACGGATGATAACGCGCGTTTGTGCATTCTTTTCTCAAGCTTCAAATGGCTGGATGCGAGATTCAAAGTTGTGTAGCGTCCGACGGTTGTCCGATTCCTACATTATTCATTGTTGGTCAAGTCAACGCGATGAAACTGTCTCGTATTCTTTATATTAATGTTACTTTATTACTTCCACATTTCATCAGAATTTACGTTAATGTATCATTATATATTGTTAATGTGAAAAATATTGTCTAAGACAGAAGGTATCATCTCATACCCATGCCGCTCGATAGATGGCGATGGCGGCTTGTCCAACAAAGCAGATATAGCTGGCAAGGGCGCCTTTTACATTCCCGCTTGAATGGGAGAACCAGCCGGCTGCTCGGCGACTGGTTGCCAGACCGGCCGGCACTTCGCGTACCACCGTCGCGGTGCGCGGTACGTTCGCACCGATGTGCGCCATCGTTACGCGTGTTTTCTACGTCCTTCCCCGATCCAGCCGCGGATTTCACCCCGTAAAAGGATCCGCGCGAAAGAATCTCGCAAGTGGTAGCGTTCCCAAAGAATCCGCCGTAATGCCGCACGTACACGACTTTCGAAATTCGAGCGTCGGCTCGTGACGCGCCGCGTGTTGTCTCGATCTCTCGTCGTCCGTTAGGAGTGCGAAGTGAAAGTGCTGGGAGAATAATAAAAAAAAAAAGAAAAACGGAATCACGGGCGCGGTGACGCGATAGAAGGATATACGACGGTTCGATAGTGACGGGAAGAAACCGGCGGCACAGCACGCAGCATGTGGTCATGCCGGCGGCCCGGAGGATCCTCGGAATTCGGCCAGTTTCGCGGATCGGCGTGCAGCGATGCGGTGCTCCGATGATGAGGGAGAACTGGCGCTAAAGTGTGTTATGCGCGAGTGCGGCCGATCAGGGATACGCTACCCAGCAGCAAGCCGCCGGCACCGTCGTCGTGATGCCGTTCGTGATGCGAAAGGTAGAGCCGCGGCACGTGTGCCGCGGCCATGTGCCGGCGGGCTCGCATCCGGGCTGGCCGGTGGGCGCCGAGCTCGAGGCGGTGGCGAACGGCGCTCTCACCAGCTCCCTCAAGCAACTGGCCTCCCTCCTGACCGTCGCGGAGGACATCTTCGCGGGCCTCACCGTCGAACTGGCCCAGGTCGCCGAAAGAAGCGGACACCTACGTCGTAAACTCGACAAGGTCGAGGAGCGACTCAGCACTGTTGATCCCAAGAAGATACCAGTCCGTGAGTATTCATGAGCGATTTGTTGTCTTGGAGTGATTCTCGGGTGACAGAGCGTTCGGGGGGGCGCGCGATCTTACCGGCGTGATGCGCAATCGCTAGTGTGCTTGAAGAAATAGTGAAATTGGCGCTCGTTAGTGCCTCTGATCGTCGACAGTGATTGTCGGAGTATAAAGTTTAAACTCTCTCAGAATACAAGAAGTGGGAAACGAACTATTGCTATGCTTATAGCGTGACCATGGAAACGCTGCCTCGAAGTACTGCCGTTGAATAAAGTTTGAAACTAAGTAAATTGCCTCGAGGGATAAACCGTTGTAACGCGCACGCGAAGAAAACCAATGCGAGGCTCACGTTCAAATTGCTTCTATTTCGTAACGCAGCTTTCGATATTTACAATACTTTTTCACGTCGTGAAACTCGAGGCAATTTCTCAAAATATTTACGCTTTGATACATCGCGGCCGTTTTCAAATTCGACACGCAACCGAGTGAGAGGAGCTTTGACTAGTTTCTATCCCTGTAAATTCTCTCCATATCTTCCTTTAGCGAAAATTTAATAAAAGCATTTCTTCACGACACGATTATGCAAACTTCTCTCTCGTGGCGCTGTTATTTTGGATGATCCTTTCACCTATCATCATCGAGGGATGCTAAGAAACAACATCCTTGTTCGATTTCACGGTACACCGCAAAGGTGAGGCGAGAATAAACAAGAATGAAAAAAAGGAGAAGAATTCCGCAAAGAGATTTATGCGGAAAACCTGGTCTATACCGTGGGAAACGAATTGAGAGACCGTCCCGAAACTGAGTTGTACCTGAGTAGGTTACCGCCTACCGATGGAGGCATAAAGAGTTCCTTATTCTCGGTGTATTCTAATGCTAAGCGTCTATCTCGGAGACAAGAAACAGAAGAATAAAAAATGGGGTTACAAGGACCATTAATGAGTCGTTTGAAGATATCAAAGTTAGCCACTTCAGTCTCTGAAGATGTAATTAGAGGAAGATAATGACTAGCCTAATAGTTTCAAAAGCCCTGTGGAGTGTCTGTGAAATAACAAATCTTTATTCGTGTTTGCGGCATATAAAAGTTTCAAAAAAAGAAATTATCATTTAAGAATGTAAATTAGTTGGATCGTTAAATTATCGAATTATCGCTAATCCACTTCCAAAGATTTAGCGGATCAAATTGTGAGTTATGGATCTTGTACGTAACGTTTAGAAATGAGAAGTAAAAATTTGGAAACGTGCATACCATAAAAAGGAATTATTATACAATTATATGTTTTCTTACGTTACGACTGTTGAAATCTTTGTGTAACAAATTGAAATTTTTGCTGCGCCGAAAGAACATTCACGGCGTTTGAAAGTCCATAAAAAAAAATAGTGAAACCTTAGAAGTTGAATAATCGCGAGATAACATCGTTAAAGTCGATTCGTCGAATTGAACATTCGAAAGGATTAGTTATAAATTCCGGTCACGCCTGAACGCGGCAGCGATTGAAGAGCGCAATTGAAAGGCCGGAGGAAAAAGTTCTCACCGACCGAAATTACTTTAGCTCTAGTTTAAGTATCATCGGCGCCGTCCGCGGGAAATTAACGTCAGGTTTGTCTTGGAGCCGCTTTTTTACGACGATCTCTGTTACTCCGAATAGTCGTAAAGCCAAGAAAACCACGATTTATCACCGCGCGATTTTGCCGTGCAAAACAACAGTGCACTTTTCTTCCGAGATCATGCAGTGTCGACTTGTTGAAAGCACATCGACATATTTTGATCCTTTTCATTATTTCATGCAGTCACGTCATTACAAGTGCTCAGCTGCGACAGAAATTGAAGCAGAAAGAAATATAATACTCTAACTTTCCTATTTATATGTCATTTAAACCCGAAGACATACCGCACTCACACTTTTCCTACTATGTTGTTGCACAAATGAAATCTATCATATAAAATACTTTATGTATTAATTCATTTTAATTCACGACAATTACCGACGCAAATTACTTTGACTTGCAAATAATCAAGTCGCTCCTAGCTATCGTCTAATTGTAAGGTCAGAAATGACGATTATGTTGCCAAGAATGTTGCCGGCTATGGCGCAATGTCGTAGTCGGGGTGGATATTCATTTCATGGCTTCCATCGGCGAACAGCTGAGGCTTCTTTTTCCGTCCCGAACGAGGGAAGGAGCGTCTTCCACCCTTAGGGATCCTTCGTTCGGCCTCGTAAACGCCTATGAGAAAGAACCCGCGCTTTTTTCCAGCCTCTCGTACCGCCAGTCCCCGAGTCCTGCAAAGACGCTGCTCGTTGAGACAGCTGACTCAGGTAATCGGCCGCACAAACGGCGCCGAGCCTCGGATTCTTCCCCGCGGGTCGGTGGGAATTTTAATTCCCAAGGGTGAAACAGGCTCCGTCGCCGGCGGGAAGAAGCAGATAAAATAACGTCTGCCGGGTGTAATTTAATGCCGGTGCGCGCGTTTATACGTCTCGAATGCATTCGATTCGTGAGGGAGAGAGCGATATTCGCTTATCAAAATGTATTTGCCAAAATATTCCTCTGAGTTTCGTCCCTTCGCTGTGCTTTATTTGAACGTAACGACTCGCCATGACGTTCCAGTCGAAAAAAAGGATTTTTATTTGCGTTATCTAGCATTTATTTATAGAATTACACGTACCACGACGCTTTGAAAGATTATTAAGACATCGTTGCGGCACGATTTAATAATTTATTACGTCCGCTAGATAATATTCTTATGCGCCGCCGACATTTAACGTAACTTCTCCCGAAGCTACACGAGAGCCGCAAGCAGCGCGGTTGAAAGTATGGCTAGCCTTGAACCTTCAGGCTCAAGTATCTCGCCAGGGATATCGCGGATCCTGGTGAAATCAGAATTTATGTTCTCGAGGGGACACCGAGGTCTCGAGACGAGAAGAGGGAAAAAGAGAGAAGACGAGAGAGAAAATATTGACATAAACATGTCACTTATGTTACGAGCTTGCGAATTACATAAATAAACAATTTGGATGATACTTAATTTTAGATTTACTTGTAAACACACGTCTATGAGATTCTACTTGTGTTGAAGAGAAACATACAAGTTCAAATCACCGATAAGAGCTCTATTACATGTGTAGTACAATACACTTCCGAGATCCGCTTAAAACTTAGTAAATTAATTACATTTAAAATTGGCCAAGACAAAATGTGCGAGTTTTCACCTTTCCTTTGGTTAGCAAACAGACTTTCTTCACCTTTCTTTTGGTAAACAGACAAACGAATTGTTTATATGTCAAACAGTGGGACTGGCGTGATTATTCTGTTAGACAAGCGTGTATAAATGTGGGATTATAATATTGACTTGGGAAATCTAATATCGTTAATTGCGCTTCTGTAATATCGATAGGTTAGCAGTCGAACGACTTCTGCGGAAATGACCGTACGCAGGATGTGGTTCGGCCTGGTGGAGCAGGTTCACCAGCACTTCGAATTGCGAGCGAACGGTTTGTTTGACGGGCTTTCCATTGAGTAGCCAGCCCTGTGCGAGAAACACTTTATCTCCGATTTGTTGTACTGACAGCAAAGCTGTGTACTTTTCTTTTCTTGTACCTGGAGAAACTTTTTTTATTACGTAGAGAGACAACTAGCGAAACAAATGATTCTTTTTAAACGTTTACTCGAGCTATTGTACATTCTTTCGGGTAGATTCACTGAGACCCGATTTTGTTGAATAAAATAAAATTTGGTTGATTCGACGAAATCTCTTGTTTGGATACGAGCAAACAAGTCTCCCAGTAAATGCAACAAAAATATTCAGTTGGAATATTTAGTAATATTAACACACATACAAATATGAGTTTACTCAGAATAACAACTCTGTGTAAACCAAATAGTTTATTGTTGTAACATTTAACTTCTTGCCGGTAACATAATTTTCATTACAATACAACAGATTACATATTTATTCAGTAAAATAGTTTAACCAAATAATTTTGTTTTATCGAACAGGGATCTCTCAGCGAATATTAACTTTCTCTTTTAATGCTGCATCTAAAAACACGATTGTGATTTTTGTCATATTATTATTTTTAACGAGGACAGGGTCTTTTACGAGAGGAGCGTTCGAATAAAATTTACTTTCACAAGTTATTACCTAGTTTTCCATATTAATATTAAACACGAAACTAAAGCTGCTTGCTTTCCTCTGCGGGTAAATACACTGATATTTCAAATTTACTGCTGGCCCTTTAGGCAAATATAGAGCTTTGTAATCAAGCCTCTGCTACCTGCTTAAATAATCATATTTTAATGAAGGCATTAATTCATAAGCACGTTCTGCAACGTTTCCTCTTTTAAATTCATGATAAAATATGGAAATTTTATGTGGCTGCGATATTTATAGAAGAACATATGCCTCATTTTTCAAATTATCTGTAAAAGATATAATAAATGTACATTACAGATTATAGATACGAAGTGTCCAGAATAAATCCGATGTTGTTTGGAGTTTCACTTCTTTAAGAGACATTATTCAACAAAGTGTTGCAGACAAAAACGATTTAAAATTATTATAAACATAACTTACAAAATAAAAAACAAGGATAGCTTTTCAAATGCTATAATATAATATACTATGCTATATTATAATCTTATTAAAATTAATGTAAACTCTGTGTAATCTCATGATCGTTATATAATTTTTTTCTGATTACGTGAAATTTTACATTGTTGCCACTTGAGGGTTAAAGAGTTTCCCGTCAGCTGTTTAGTTGGAACTTTTCTCCTTTCTACCCTATGAGTCCCGCTGTGTGGATATCAGGTATGGACCCCCGTGTACGAATAATAACGACGCAGGGACGGAAATAAAAGTGGGCCGCATCGGGCGCAACGGTCCTCGGCTGCAGTTCCGTCTCCGGTTTTTCATCACCCCTCGTCGTTGCCTCCTTTATTTCCCCGCTCGGCTTCTTACGGTTACTTCCGGTTGCCAGCTGGCATCGAAGAACAGGAGGG